TAGACCAGGCTGTCCTTGAACTCACAGAGATCTGCCTGCCTCTGCCTCCCAAGTGTTGGGATTAAAGGCATGAGCCACCATGCCTGGCAATATTATTTTTATTATTTTTACTTTATGTGTATAAGTGTATTGCCTGCATGTGTGTAAGTGCACCCGTGTCGTGCAGTGCCTGTGGAGGTCAGAAGAGGGTGTTGAATCCCCTGGAACTGGAGTTATGGATGGTTTTTAGCTACCATGTGGGTGCTGGGATTTGAACCCAAGTCTTCTGCAAGAGCAGCCAGTGCTCCTAACCAGTCTCTCCAGTCCCAGGCTTTTTTTTTTTTTTTTTTTTAAGTGGATCCTGGGGGTCAAACTCAGGTCCTCATGCTTATAAGGCAAATATTTTACAGACTGAGCCATGTTCCCCGCCCACAAAGAACTTCCTTTTTTATACTCTATTGCAACACTGGAGACACATATGCTGAAGAACGCCTTTTCCTTGGCCCTCTGAAATTCCCATTTACCAGGGCACCTTGAGTCTCTGGCACATCTGGCAAAGTGTGCACCATGGGGAAGTGTTCCTGCTTCTCTGCTCCACTCTCTCCCTCTGCAAATAGGTTTGGGGGGAGGATTGAGGAAATTAATGCTATTTACTTATCACTTCGCATGGTGCCTGGTGTGTGGCAAGGAACATCACTGTTTGTCGTGAGTGTGCATACTTACCTCAGTCACCTACACAGGGTTCCTCCTGGAGGGTCAGGGCAGCCCAGAGAACTGAAGCTCTTTATCTTGAAGCGCATCCACCATACCACAGGTGGTACCCATTCAAGAACACCCAGGATCAATATTTACAGAATGAGCGCCCACCCTGCCCTTCCTGGCTAGGACCCCTGGTGTACAAAGCAGGACACCGTGTTCCTACCTGATCCAGGTATTTCTTCCACACTGGTTCTGCGTTGTCAGCAACAAACTCGTTCCAGCCATGGACCAGCCTGCGCTGGGTCACGGCGAACTCTGACAGGCCGCTGTCCAGGTCCACCTGAAAGGAGACAGCAGGTACAGAGGGAGGTCGACAATCGGCTTGGCCAGGGCCTAAGAGCCAAGTCAGAGGTCCCAGCCTAGAGCTGCCCACTTCTAGGAGGTGACTAGGAAAATGGGCTTGTCCATCAAGGAGAAGACACTGGCTTAAAGGCCCCAGTGGGGGTGACAGAGAGCTGTGCGGGGGGGCTGGCAGCAGTTGGGGGGAGGCTGGAGCAACTCCAGATGCCTTTGAATAGGGAAGGAAGATCAAATAAGGTCTTACTGTGTATCCCTGGCTGGCTTGGAACTCCGTGTAGCTGAGGCTGGCCTCAAACTCAGAGATCCGCCCACCTCTGACGCTACTGCTAGGGTTAAAGGCTGTGCTACCACGCCCAGCTGGTAATTTTCTATACAGGGAAAATGCCTCGGCCAGGAAAAAGGTGCTTCCTCCTCCCCTCCCGATGCCATTGAGCAGGACCTGAGAACCTTCCCAACACCTTCATGTGGTAACATGCACCTTTAAATTTTTTTGAATTTATTTTTATGTGTACGAGTATTTTTCCTGAATATACACAGTTTGTGCATGCAGTGCCCATGGAGCCCAGAAGAGGGTGTCAGATCCCCTGGAATTGGAGTTACAGATGGTTGTGAGCCGCCATGTGGGTGCTGGGAACTGAACCCAGGTCCTCTCCACGAACAGCCAGTGCTCTTAACCATTGAGCCAGCTTTCCAGCCCTAATGTGCACCTTTTTACTGATGTATTATTTGCTTTGCCAAAGCATGATGGTTATGAGTACACATATATGTACACATGTGTGCACACATGTGGTATATTTGCTTTATTTTCTAAGTAAGCCAGAGGCATGAAGCCAGCATCATCCTGTGACCCTGTGGTGGCTTGAATGAGAATGTCCCCCATAGGCTCCAAGTATTTGGAAATTTTGTCCCCAGTTGGTGGTGCTGTTTGGGGAGGTCTTAGAAGGTGTGGCCATGCTGGAGGAAGCACGTCACTGGGGGTGGGCTTAGAGAGTTCTTAAGCCTTGCCAGATCTCCAGTTGCTCTCTGTTTCCTTATGCCTGCTTGAAGATGTAGAGCTTAGCTTCTGCTCCTCCTCCAGCCACCTCTGCCACCATGCCTGCCCGCCAAAACGGACTGCAATTCCCCTGGAACCGTGAGCTCAAATAAATTCTTCCTTTCATAAATTGCTCTAGTCAGTGTTTCTATCGCAGCAACAGAAAAGTGACTAATACAGGCCCCAAGGATTCCTGGGCTGGGACTGTCTCTTCTGCCCCGCTCTGGAATTCTAATTTCCTTGGGGAACTTGTGAGCCTGATGTCAGTCACTGGAAGCGCCTCAGATTGTAGAATTGTGGGAACTGGGCATGGTCAGGGTTTTGGCTCTGATACTGGGGGAGCCCTGGGCTGCACGGCTCCCTGACTGCACAGCTCCCCACCCCAGGACAGCAGATGGAAGAACGTTTGGCCCGTAGTGGGGACCCAAGCAGTGCTAGCTCCAGTGACAACAGAACTTTTGAGATTTTGCTTCAAAATGTGAGCCGCTCTTCGGGGATGGTCTTTGCAGCAATGATAATAAGAGGTTTGGGGACCTTGTGGTGCTTTTTCCTCATCTACAAAGTACCTCACAACCGCAACAGACCCCGTTACTGTTAATCTTGTCCACTTCACGGGATTCAGAATCACCACAGAGACACACCTCTGGGTGTGTCTGTGAGGGCATCTCCAGAGAGCTCTGACTGAGAAGACCCATCCTGAGTGTGGACAGCCCCATGCCATGGGCTGGGGACCGGGCTGAATACAGGAGAGAGTGAGCTGAGCACCAGCGTCCATCTCTCTCTGCTGACTGTGGATGTCATGTGACCAGCTGCCTCACCGCCCCCCACCTGGCCACGCCTTCCCTACCGTGATGGACTGCACCCTCAGACTGTGAGCCAGAATAAACCTTTCCTTCCCTTAAATTGCTTTTGTCAGATATTTCGTCACAGCAACAGAAAAGTACCAATACAGTCACAGATGCAATTCTTACATGAAAGGCTCTGGCCAGATCCTCCTTGCTGCATTTACAAGCTTCCCTGGGCGGCAGAGCTGTGACCGTCTTCTCTTTTTCAATGGCTTTCAACTCATTCTGTTCTTCAATCTGGAGAGAGAGAGAGAGAGAGAGAGAGAGAGAGAGAGGCTGCTAAGTACAAGGACATTTTGTTAAAGCACAGTACACATATGCAAAGTGTACATACCCCAATGCACACACACATCCACCCCCACAACCTGCCTCCACATCATCAGACAGATATGGCCAGTCCCCAAAACCTCCCTTACCAATCACCCAAGGTGGTTGTTCTGGTGTGAGCTCTAGAAATGATCACAAGAAGTGCACACTCTCCATGTGTGTTCTTTCACCTAGTGTCATTAGTGACAGCTGTGCATGATGTCACACGGGTTTCCACGGGGCTCAGCATTTCACCACACGGGGAGATCCCAACTCCTGTCCCTCCTCCCAGGGTGGACGCCTGGCTTCTTTCCATGGCCGTTACTGACGCTTCTGTTTGGAAGTTACCCCTTTCCTTTTTCTATTATTATTTTTAGTGCAAGTATAGTGTTTGTATGTGGTGTGCACGTGTGTGGAGGCCAGAGATAGACATTAGGGGTTTTCTTCTATCGCTCTCCACCTTTTGCTAATGGAGACAGGATCTCTCTCTGAACCCACAGCTCCCCATTAGGCCAGACTGCCTGGCCAGAGAGCTCTGAGGATTTATCTGGTTCTGTACCCCTGCCCCCAGGGACAGGGTTACAGATGTGTGTCATCACACTAGACTTATGCATGTATGCTGGGGATTCAAACATGGGGATCAGGTTCTTGTGTTTGCATGTCAAAGCACGTTACTGACTGAGCTCTCTCCAGTCCCATGAAACAAACTCCTGTAACAAGATCAGGACTTGCAGGAACGCTACAGTGGCGGGGGGGGGGGGGGGGGGGTTCATATTCAGAAGCCTGAGCCTTGAACCCTGGGAAGCCCTGCCAAATGGACACCCTGCTGTAAAGACACCTCCTGTGGCACTGTGTGGTATCACGCCCTACCTCTGTGAGGTGGAAGGGGAAGCTGAGTTCTGGAAGCCCAAGGATCTGTGCCAGGGGCTTGGGCCACATCCAACACCAGAGGCCCTGGAGGCTGTGAGAACAGAGGAGGCCAGGGGAGCAGGGCACGTAGGTGTTTACATCACTCTTCCTAGTGCTCTGATGCCAGGACGTGATAGTTCTCTCTTCCTTCTCCAGCGGGCCGTGGGAACCGGGAAGGAGGAAGGGAGAGAGGTGCCGACAACGTCCTCCTTTAGCCAGAACACAGAGTCCAAGTTCCTCTTCCCCTGATCCCCAGGCACTGCCCCCCTGACACAGAATTGCCCCATGCCTGGTTTGTCTACAAGACCCACTAACCACATCCGCTTCCTGGGATTCTCCTCCCTGAGCCAACAACCAGAGGGGGAGCGAGGATGCGGCTGCTCGCCAGCTCCGTCAGCTCCACGGTTCCGTGAGACTGCTCTTGGCTAATTTCTGTACAGAGATGCATGTCACTGGCTCTTGGGCTCTAGTTCCACCACCAATCCAGCCCTCATCTTGCTCAGCAGGGTGGGAAGCAGACCGGGGACCAGTACATTGCCCTTCCCTCTGAGTCTCGTTCTCTCTATCTGACTACTGTACAGCACTGACTCCTAATGAGTATCCAAGTGACTGCGGGGCATCATGCTTACACACACACATATGCACTTACACACACACACATATACACATATGCACTTACACATCCATACACATACACATAAGCTCACACGCATGTGCACATGCACACATAAATTACATGTTCATGCATGCATACCCACACACATACATGCACATATGCACACATACACATGCATACACACATGCACACACACACAGACACATGCATGCACACACATATACGCGCACACACCCTTGCCTGGAAACACTCCAGATCCAAGCTCTCTCTGGATAAACCCATCTCTAGATGTGGCTGCAGCTGATGTTGCCTGGCCCACCGCAATTAGGCAGCTCCCCGCTCCCAGCAGCCTTTGTAGCCACAGACTTGCTTCCCCGAGGATTAACATCTGCATAGCTCGTATAGTGGAATCACAAACTAGCTGACCTGTTCAGACTGTGTGCCTCCTTTGTGACCCCAGAGTACTGTTTGCCTGCAGCAAACACGATGCTCACGTGTGGGCCCCTCAGGCAGCAGTCCAGGACACAGGCTTCTCAGAGCTGCGTTCCCCCAGCAACAGGCTCAGGCTGGTGCTGAACCCAGTGGAGACTCCCCAGAGCGCCACAAAAGGCAAATGTGGCCCAGGGGAAGGTGTTGACTGAACAGGCATTCTTGGGCTCAGTGCAGAAGAGGTGTGCACACAGCAGGGCACAGCCTCGGCAGCCCACTCCAGGCCTGTCTGTCTGCCTGTCTGTCCAGCTCAGGGGATTCCAAGTTAATGTCATCAACTGAGACCCCAGGAGACTCTTTCCTGTCCTGGGGTAGATACCACATGTATTTCTCCAACGTTCCTGTTAAATCTGACCCCTGCCTCAGTTTCCTCCTCTGGATAGTGGAGATGTCGCAGCAGGGGCATCATGGATTTGCACTTGGCTGTAGATGTGAGTGCGGTGCCCGGTGCCAAGAAGCCCCGAGCACAGATCACGATGGGGATGTCGTGGTCCCCCCATTCAGAACACCAGGGTCCTGAACAGGACACCATGCTTAACACACCAGAGTACAGAGACCCAGTCACCTCAACTCCAGATGAGTCATCAGAAATTCCTCAGTGGTCCTGTGAGCCAGGGACAAGTCTGCTAAAAACCTTGGGCATGGTGGCATACATTTGCCATCCCAGCACCTGGGAGGCTAAGGCAGGAGGACTGAGTGTTCAAGGTCAGCATGAGTTATATAGCAAGACCCTGTCTTCAAAAGACAGAACAGCCAGGCGTGGTGGCGCACGCCTTTAATCCCTCTGGAGAGAGGCAGAGACGGGTGAATCTCTGTGAGATCAAGGCCAGCCTGGTCTACATAGTGAGTTCCAGGCCAGCTGGGGTTACAAGGAGACCCTGTCTCAAAAAGACCAAACAAATGATAAAAAGGGCTATTGTTTATCTGAAACATGTGTCTGGGTGCCCTGCAGTGACATTAAATATGAATTCAGCCAGGTGTGGTGGTACACGCCTTTAATCCCAGGACAGCTGGGGCTACAGGGAGACCCTGTCTCGAAAAGACCGAAAAAAAAAGAATTCAAGACACACGACTGTGTGGGTAGTAACCTGATGGGGTCACTGAACTCTGATGGAGATGGGGGGGGTGTCACAAGCTAAGGATGGTGAAAGATCTGCTATAGAGAAAGAAAAACCATCTTTGTATAACTTAGACGTGTCACAAGCTAAGGATGGCAGGTGGCCTCTGGGAGCTTGGGGAGAAGAGCTACCCTGGTCAGATTTTCACCCTTGAGACCCAGGTTGGACTCTGTCCTCCAAACTCCCAGGGAGTACATGGGTGTGGCTTGGAGCTATGGAAGTTGTGGTACTACATTAAAGCAACAATGAGGTCCTGGTGCCCCACCATCTGCTTGCCAAGTCCCAGACTCCAGCACCTCCCTGTACCCAGAGCCTCTGTGCTGTTCACCCACACATCTGCACCCCACACTGCACCATGGGCTGCAAGCTGTGAGGCAACTCATACAAGAGTACAGGCACAGGGCACGCAGACAGAAGGCGCTCCGACATGCTGTGGAAGGAAGATGGAGGCAGTCTCTGTGCTGACGAGGACTGAGGGAGGGGCAGGCTGGTCATGGCAGCAGGTGTGCAGCCAGCCTGGGGGAGGCAGTCCGCAAGTGCAGGTGCAGGACACAGGCAGGGAATGGCATTCACTGTGCAGGGCGCCCCTCCTGGGGATGGCCAGATAAAGGCCTATGCTGTGGCCTCTGCGACTGGCCCAAGTCTAGAGCCTTCTCTGCCTGAACAATGCTCTGTTGGTTCATTCTTTCTTTCCCTGGCTTCCTCCTGAGTGCAGAGAACTCTGTCTGCTACCAGAGAAACCAGACCCAGTTCCTGCTCTATGCCAAGAAATTACGCAAGCACGTTCACTGGGAATAATGAGGACTACCTCGACAAGGAAGGAACCAAGGGGGTAGAGGGAAGCCAGGGCCGATGTTTTCTTAAGATCCCAGGGTGAGAAAGAACTTTCTGAGTACAAGATAAAACTCAGATAAGGAACCACCTGAAGTTCCAGTGTAGAAAGAGGACTGGACCGTCTCCCACATAGCGGGAGCGCACACAGAATCCAAAGGTAAAACCTCTGCAGAAGACACCTATCCCTGAGAATGCCAAAGATGAAGGAAAAGACCATCCGCTCGTCTTTTTGTGAGAACTGGGCAAAATATAGACTAGGAGTTCACAGAGAGGGAGACGAAGCCCGTGATAAGCTCAAGGGTGTCTTACACGCTGGGTGCACTCAGAGGGGCCCAATCAGAACAGTCCCTGCTGCAGGGTACATGACACCATCCAAGCTGGAAACGTTCTGGTCATTTCCTGCTCAGATTTCCTTGTTACAAATGAGTCTGCTCAGTTGTACCACCTGGTACTGTTCATAACAGCTTAATGTTGGTGTCAACCCATGTGCCCATTGACAAGGGCTGGCAGGTTAACGGGGCCACCGTGACACGTGGCACAGTGCTGCTTCTGAAACATCAGGCAACCTTTCTGGGTCCTTGAATGGAAACGTTAATTATGCACTGGGGTACACCTACCACAGCCACGTGTGCAAATCTCACATACACCTGGATGGAGACACACATGTATGTACATCTGAGTGAGCACCCCCAGAACCGGAACAGAGCTTCCAGCTCCCAGCATCCCCGGCACCATGTTCTCACCCACTCACCACTTTCATGAAGGATTACACACTCAGGCTTCTACCCATGTGGATCTGCTCTGCCTGCTCTGGAAGCCCATAGAAGTGAAAACACACACAGGGACGCCAGGGCTGGCTTTTCTGGCCTCATATTATCATGTGCATGTATTGTATTTGTGAGATGTCTGTTTTCTCACCAATGACTGCCACTCACTGTCTGTTGCTACACGGAACCACAGGACTT